ATTATTATATTTGAAGTTATGAAAGTGCTTCCTGAAGTGAGGGAACTGCACTAGATTTTTAGGCCTGTGTCTTGATCTAAGAAAAACATAAGCAGACGGTTACTGGCTGAAAGACAAATACTTGTCCTTCCACAACCCTGCCTTTCTGTTACTAGCTCCATGTGCATTGTGATTTACAGTATAAGGAGAGTTTTTTCCTTTTTTTTTTTTTTTTTTTTTTACAAAATAGCGAGAGTGGGGGAAAACTCCAAAATGTCCTTCTGGCCAGAGACGTGAAGGGAGGAAATTGCATTGATTTAAGCTCAGCTTCTTTTGGCATCTGTCCGCCTTCTTCGTCTTTCTTTCCTAAAGTGAGGGCGTTTGTTCCACAGCCTCCGGTTTAGATACAGTCATCTAAGATGTTTTTCTTTGTCTCTCATTATATCCACAGTAAGCTGATGAGTGGAAATGAGTGGCAGCATCTTGACAAATAAAAGAAACTACAAACTTCATTTACAATCAGCTTTTTTCATGCAGAAACTAAAAACTGCTGCTTCCATTCATAAAATGAAACATTGAAGAGTGCACACAATGACGATGTAGAACTTTTTTTTAACTGTGTCAATCTGAATACTACTCAAAGCTTCCAAAAGCATATGTCATTCTGGTTGAGGGACATTGACAAAGAGCTGAGTTGTTTAGAAGTGGTTGTGCTGTTATAATACTTTATTCATTGCACAGTTTACAGCAGAGATATTTCTCCTCACTGTCTGGACAATGAAAACAGTGATGAAAGTGCCTTTCGAGCATTTTACATTATTTTCATCAAATTCTTTTAATAATTTCCTGATAAGTTCATCACATCTATTGAGTGAAATCATGCAAATAGTTAGTTAATTAATGGTGTTAAGTATGTCAGCTATTCTTAGACTTAGTCGATCAAAATACATGTGAATTTTAGTCATATTCAGTCAACTTCATCCTTACTATTGTTAGTCACATTTCGGTTGACTAAATTGACATTTTAGTTTTGTCTTAAAAAAACACATAACATTTGAATCTTGTTTTAGTCATACATTATACTATATTATATGTCATATTAGTTGACAAAAACATTTTAGTCTCATCCAGACCAAAAGACCAGGAATATGTATTTTAGTCAAACTTCCAGGTTAGAATTCATCCATCTGTTTTTAGGCTAAAAGAACTGTTACTGAAAATTACCCAGAATGTGATTGGTTGTGGTAAAGTTGTACTATACTGTGTTTATAACTGTTTCCATCCATGAAGTACTAGACATCTAGCTACTGCCCACTAGAGTTTATTAAAGCCCCAAATCAATGTTCCACAACAAATCCTTCAATAGATTATGTTTAGCTGGAAAACAGCACTTCAAATCTGACAAGACCTGACTATAAAATGTGTGATGTTGTACAGAGATTTAGACTTTCACCGTTTTTTTACCGTTGTTTGGTAATGAAGTCATTTTAGTCTTTTTAACTTCTCTGCTTCATTGTGGAAAAAACAGGTTATTGACGATTCTATTTCATCAACATGTTCATTAACAAAATTCTAACCTAATAATACATTCATCCCCTTAATTCAAGTACAGCCTCCCAACCCCACCCCCACACACCCCCAAAGAAGAGCCCAATACAATTATTACAAAACAGACAAAGACATTCTGCTGAAACATTAAATACAGAAAACAATACCACAGCCTCAGCAGAAGCAGACTTTGTAGCTCCAAATGTGTTTTGTTATTATTATAATTGTTTTTCAATAAACTAATGAGTAAAATTAAACCAAACAATACTATTAAAAACGCAAATTAAAGACTATAATATGTACTGTACACACACACACACACACACACACACACACAATTGAATTCCCCTGATAATTCAAATGAGTGCCACGAGTACAGCTGTAGGACTAGTTAGACTTTTTAGGAACATTATGGATAAACATAAAAAATCTGTCAGACAGGGCACAGAGCTAAGTTTAAAAGGGTATATTTTTATCTCATGGAGCTTTTATTTACAACTCAATATTTTGCCCCTGTTTTTCTCCATGCCTTCACAGCTTTGGAAGTTGGACACCATGATTCCCCGCTACAGCAAAGGGCTTCAGTTTAGGACGATTGATGGCTGCTTCCCTGCTGAGATGACATAGCATGAGCCAATTTCACCACAGCCTCCGAGGTAATCACCTAATTCTCTGGTGGTGTTCAATCGCCACAAACCCAGAGACACACCAGAGGATTTGTTTCACCCTGACCAGCATATTCCCCTATTAATCATAGCTGCTCATTGAGGCATTATCTCTTTTTGTGTCTGTACCACATGCAGGTTATGTAATGGCAACAACTGTGAAAACCACTGTACAGGAAGCTTTAAGATAACAGAGCATCGATTTAACAGTTGGGTAAACAAAGAGAAGACACCAAGGAGTTGTTTAACCTGAGGGAAATTCTGTTTGCTTATCTTTTCGTTCCTTTTGAAGAATGTAATGTAATTTTTTAATGTAACGTAATTATCTATCAAAGAGAATGTTAATGGAAGACAGTAAAAAGTATGAATTAATTCACACGCATATGTGTGTCCTTGTTCAATGGGGATGTTTCCTCGTATGAGGGATGTTCTCAGCTGTATTCAACTGCCATCTTGACTTTCCCTTTTGCCCACTGTGACACTATGTGCCCTGGGTGAAACCTGAGCCTCCTGTTGTTACAACATGACATCTTCTAACATATTGCAACAGTTAGGATGGCCTTGATCCCCACGACCTCTTGACACTCACTCGCGTCTCCTCACAGCCTTCAAGAGATACCTCGCCTGGGGAGGCGCAGGACAGGCAGAAGGTGAGACGAGGTTGGACATCCAAAAGTTTAGATGTGTCACTGGTTCAACAGACATGCTGGACTAAATTAACACACACACACACACACATACGCACACATATGCACACACTGACAGCTGTGCCTGATGTAGCCCCAGGTGCTCAGTACAGGATTGGTTAGTTGGCTCTGTTTGAGACCGTGTGCCATTCTTTGATGACCCACACAAATTCCCTCTGGTTTGCAGTGGAATGATAGAAATGGCTGTATCGCAAAAGCAGCAGCCTCAGTTGTCAGAAGTTAGGTGCAAAGGAAAGACAGTTCTCCCCCTCTCACCTCAGCTAATACCCCCTTTTCTACTTCCACATAGGCAAACATACAAACTCTTTCTGTGACAAGTTCTTGCTACGCCTAAATATGTCATTAAAGAAAACGAGGAGGAATGAAAGAAACAGAGCCGTTGCTACATGGTTTTCAGTGTGGGGAATCATACAGGGGCTGTGAGACTGTTTTAGGTCCTTCCAAGCTGTCATTTTGCACCACAAATGAAAGCAAAACAGTGTGGGAGCCAGATGAGCCAGTGGAGGCTCAAGGACTTCGTACTTTGTGTCTTGGTTTCATATTAAGCCAACACCACTTCACCAACTCCTCTGGCTGCGTACCTGCCTTCCAGCCATCCATTTTCTCTCCAGATCCAACCTCCTTCCCTGCATGTCACACTGCTCAGAGCTGTGCTCCTGCTCTTTCCCAGTCATTTTGCTTATATATTTCCCTTTGTCATTGCTGTCATATTTTGCTCTCTTTTTGATTGACACATTTCCCATCACCGCCGAGGGAAAAATAAGAAACAACTGCCCTCTTTACCTCTCTTTGCCTCCTACTCTTAGTACGTTTTCTTTACATTTCCTGCTCTGTTCCTCTCCCTCTCCTTCTCTGTCTGCCTCCTCTGCTCCACTTATGCATCCCAGCAGTCTAGATTTCCTTTCCTCAGGTTATAATAGTTAGACTGTGAAATCACCCGGGCCCCACACCCCTCCCTTCACCCCTGTGTCCTTCTTTCCCTTTCCACTCTCTAACATCTTTCTCTCCCTCCTCTGATCCCCTCCCTCCTCTTACTACTTATAGACAATTTTTTAATATTTATGGCCTCAAAGCTTGAGAAGTGGGTGAGGGCACAGGGCTTTACTTTGCTTATGATTACTTGCGTGTTGTCAGGAACCAAACGAGGTAAGGTGAGGATTGCACTACAAGGTTGAGGCTGTGAAGCTGCAGCCCTGCAGAGCAGAAGAGAGGCTGCCCGATCTCCTCTGAGCCCCCATACTGAAGTGATTAGACCACAGGAAGCTGAACCTGACATTGCTGACACTAGGCCCCCTTACCACATCCTGCCTCAACATCCACCCACACCACACGACACCACCTTTCTACGCTGACACCCGACTCACCGTGGAAACCGCAGGGCTGATTTACATATTCCGATAGAGGTACAGAAGATGGAAGAGCAGAGGATGTAGCAGGACACTCAATAGAGTGGAAAAAGAATGAGAGATCAGTGAAAAAAAGAAGGGAAAATGCTTGTGGCAACTGCTTTCTTTATTGTTTGCCTGCCTTATGGTGTGGTGGCAGAACAAACAATGCAGCCTGTCAATTTTCAAGCCTATTAACTATAACTGGGATAACTACTGCAGGTGCTTTCTTTGGCTGCTGATGACCTGGATCAAGATATTTGAGACATTATGTTGTTTTTATATATGTCAGTGTGGATTTATATGTGGCCCATGTACTCCATTAATCCAACATTTTGTTTTTCTTAAATATCTAAAGAAGTTAAAAGAGGAATTAGCATTATATGAGTTAAAGTTAGTGGTTGTTCCCTCCTTATGAGAAAATATGCACCAATTTCATTTTCTCCTCACCGATCCAGTGCATTGTAGTTTAGTGAAGATGCTGTGCCATAAAATGTATGGTATTTTGACCAGACAATATAGTGATTAAGTTAACTTTCATAAAAGAGCACTGCTGCCCTCTTCTGTTTGGGGGTGTAAAGGCCAGAATTGAGAGCACTTGATCATATGTTGACTTTGGAGAAACTTTATCCCACTTACTGGTGTTAATAAGTGGGATACAGATACTAACTCACTCACTCACTCACTCGTTCACTCAAAATAAATAACAAACTATGTTTTTTTTCTTTCTACAACTTGCTTTATTAGCGCCTTAAATCAACAGCACTTGACTAGAAAGGTTTTCACAGTACATTGGGCCTCTTCTATTTACACGAGAGTACTAAAAAGTATATCTTGCATTCTGCATTACATTTTCATAATATCTAACAACAACAAGTAAAATTTAAACTGTATATGTCCTTGTAATTTAAAGTGAACAATAAACTTACTTTATTACATTCAGGTTAAATTGGGCACGTTTAGGCATTATAAATAAACATGATTCTTTCAAAAAATCTAAACCTGTGTCTAACCAAAAACTCCACATATTTCATTTTAGCTGTTATTTGTTCTCTCTCTCTGTCTCTCTCACACTCTCTTTCACCAATCAGAATGTGTCTCTTTTTTAAAGTAGTGATTGCTCTCTGTTTGACTCCCGTCTCCGGTGAAAGTGTTTCATTTCAATAATGCAGAAGTGAAACCAACTCCATTTAAAAAGGGAGTCTCACTCAATACTCTGGGGGCCGTGGGAATAATCAAAACACTGCCAGAGCCAGCGAGGAATACAAACTCAGTTAAGAACAAAGGAAATGGAAATCAATGGCAGGATATGCAGATTTCTTTGACAGCTCGACACGCAAATAATCTTTTGGGAGTTTGCCCTCTGTTGCCTTTGCCAGGTTAAAATAACAACTGAGCAGGGAAATATAACATGCAGTATGTTGAAGAAAGGGCACAGCATTACACCTACTTAGTTTTGTGTGAAGGTGTTCCAAAACAATCAATAAAGAATGTACTGCATTGCAAGCAAGGCTGAATCGCCTAAGGCATGGTCATGTCTATAAGTGGATGGCTACCGACCTTAGGAATTAATTTAAAGCTAAACACTGTATTATTTAAAGGCTGCACTTGATGTTTTATGCACAGTTGTATGTGTCAGTTTGTCGACACTTGAGAAGCTTGAGCAAAATCTCCATCTTATGGGCGTCTTTCTTGAAGCAGCTGAGTATGGTGTAGTCTCTCATAACAGATTCCAGCATCTCTGGTGGCACATCATACTGGAATAGGCCTTGCTCACTGTATGTTGTGGTCATCATTCCCTCATCCAGCATCTGCACAGCACATATTTGGAAAGATAACAGAAATGTTAAGAAAAAAAAACAGTCTACAAATGGTTTTGAAGTGAAAGATTAAGTAAAGTTCTGATATCGCATACTCATTTAAATGTGGGTTTAGTTCTTAACAGTAATCCAGAAATGTGATTTGACTCACCTTCTTGATGAGGACCACCACCCCTTGCTCCAGACTGATCAGTTTCTCAGACACCCACTTGGTCTTGTTGAGCAGCATTTCAGGAGCGCCATCATAGCGATCCATTGTGGTCTGCAGGTAGACCAAAGGCTCGATCCACGACTGAACCAGCATCAGCACAGAGTGGAGCAACCATTTGTCCTGCGGGGTACACACATGAAGAGTTAAACATAACTGATCACAAAGTTGTCTTAAATATAAAGACAATATAGAAAATACGCAAGACAACATTACACAACCCAACAAAACATGACACAGCTAACAGTAGAACTGACTTTCTCTATTCGTGCCTGTGTTGGAATGTTTATATCTGTGATGAATAGCTTCCATTTGCACTTCAGAAGGTAGTAATGAATGGAAGTACTCAAAATGGTCACTAATACTCTGATCAAGGGCTTGTCAGCTACAAAACACTTAGCAACAACTCAAGCGGTTGAAATGTCATAGGTGAAGAAGCAGTTGAACCTACCTAAATGCCCCTAAGCAGAGCAGTCTCTAAAGCAAGTGTCAATGACTGCCACACAAATGGCCATTAAACCACAGAGCAGGCAACATTTCAACCGAAAAGGGCAGAGAATAAATTATTAACAGAAATAAAATGTATATATACATTTCAAAGATCACATTTACTACTGTAGTGATGACATGACTTTCAACCAGCATGTCTATATTGCTAAAAATGAGACCTTAAAGAAATTGCTTTTGCCATTCTCCTCTGTCTGTTAGTTGAAGGGGGATTATTGTAGAACTTCACATTAACCAGATTACAGTTCACATCAGCCAAATCACCCTTCATTGGCCTTTTACTGAGTGGCTTGATTGAGTTTCCACCATGCTCATCAAGCTGACCGTTGGCCTAAAAAAGGCTGTGCCCTGTCGGACAGTAGTCAAAACCTCAGTAGGCACTGACAAATGTTTTAAACCGAATACAGGCAAGTGTATTTCTGAGATTTGAGGATCTTTCATTGTAATTTGTGCAAACACATCATCATTCATCAGCTGACAGCAAGAATTATACAGAGGGGAGGTTCACTTTCACGTTTCGTGATTGTTATTAAAAAAAAGAAAGCTCTGGCTCTTAGCACCACTGCAGATTGAGAGTGATTTGTGAGCAGACATGTGCATGCAAACAGTCATGGATTAATGCCACCCACTTACACACACACAAACACGTGTGCATAATAAGTATAAACTCCACTGAGATGCACAGAGAAAGACAGACACACATACACAGATCCATGCACTGACATAAGCACACGCAACCTATACTTGTATTTAATTTGCTTACATACAAACACTCACAGAATGAAACTTCTTCTGTACACACATATGTAGTGACACACAAAATCAGAGGTGCACAGTATAACTATTCTTAACAGATTAAGATCAAAGCTCTAACAAGGGAAATAAAAAATCCTGCAGTGATCAGCAGTCATGTACTTACAGATATCTGCTGGATTTCACTTTTGGAGCTGGGGATGGGTAAGGCTTTGGTGATGCATGCATAACCAGCTTGGTTCCTCTGGAGCTGCAATGGGAACGGGACAAACATCTCCTCCTACAATCCATACAAGCATGGGAAAAAGGAAAAGCAAAGGAAAAAGTGTTCACACACACACACACACACACACACACACACACACACACACACACACACACACACACATATTTTTGTCACAATACTTAAGATACAATATGATTTTGAGTGACTGACCTATTTATCCTTAACCTTTGTCATTAGTGTATACAATTAAAGCGTATTCTATTTGTTTTTTAGCTTACTCTATATGTTCAAAACTGGTTATAAGCAGCTGTATTCAGATCTGTTTGTTTTTCGAATTTTGTTGGTTTTAGGCAATATCCTAAGACGGTTATACTCTCCAACTCACACTCCAACCCTAAAATTCCTTTTTTAAAAACTGATTTGAAAATCTTTGGTTCTCTTAGGTATAGAATTGCAAGAACACTGTGGCAGACACACATAAAGTCACATCAGGAAAACAATGACACAAGCTTCACCAATCGTGGCCACTGGAGACACAGCAGAGACACATTTTGTTCTCTAGCATGTTCTTATCTGTGGACCCCATGCAGCGTCTTCTCAGTAACAAGCCCTACATCATCCCATTTCAAAGACCATTTTGGATCTCGAACCTCAGAGTAAAGAGGATTCAACAGGCTGCAAAACCTGTCCTCTCACTGCAGCAGTATATCATTATCACATTCGTATTACTCCACTGTAGGCCTGCTTCTTCAATAAAACATCTTTGGCTCAGAAGAGAGATAGAAGATTACTTTGAAGCCTGGCAGTGAGGCGATGATCATGTCAGAATCAAAAGCAAATAACACCGAGTATATAACAGAAAGTGTCAGTGCTTTTGGTCCAGAATATTATGCGAAAGACCAACAAAAAGTCATTTTGCCCTCATTGTAGAAATCATTCCAAGTGTTGCTAGATTGCATGCTAGATTTGATGATAAAAAATAATATAGCTGTGACTATACTGTTGAGGCACGTCTTTCTAAGCACTTTTTAGCACTGACATGTAAGAAAACATTTTATTGCTTTCTGGATAAATATATATTTCATTACACAATTTTGTTTTAGTTCCATATGAAAAGTGATATTATACAGCTTCTCAAATGCAATATTCTGCATTGCATTGCATTCTGTCTCTGCAGCCTTTGCCTAAGGCTGCGTTTCTCCAGCCCAGCTTTTCAAAATGCTGATTTCACATTTCATAAAGATATTCTTGAAAACTCATGCTCAACTGATAAGATTATTTCCCCTTTAGTTAATAGATTTTCTTACATTGCCTTGCAGTTTGAAAGACAATGGGACAGTCCTAAAACCATCCCTTGTGATACCCTTCACCTCCTACCCCACCCCCGCAACTCCACACCTCTGTGTGTCCTTTGTCCTCTGACGATCATGTGCTGATCAGCTGTCTCCAGTATTCACCGACATCTTCAACACCTCATTGGATACATGTCATGTGCCAGCCTGATTCAAAGCCTCCACCATCATCCCCCTCCCCAAAAAACCAAGTAACTCAGGACTCAATGACTACTACTACAGACCTATCATCGTGCTTTCCCACCTCAAAGCCATGACATGTGCACATCATGTGCTACTCAGTAAAGAGAGATTTAGTTAGTTGGATCTCCTGAGGCTTTTCAATGCTAAATGTATTCCTTTACCATATTCTGTCAGAGACTGTGGATACAAATGGTCTGCTAAACAGTAAAAAAAAAAAAAAAATTCCAATACAGTGCAGAAATGGATAGATTCATTTTAGTGTTACTCACAAACAAAGAGCATGATTCTTCAGACACGCGGTATATTAGCTCAGCATGCTGGATGACTCGGTCTAGAAGTTTCTCTTGGGAGATGGAAGGGCAGCGGGAGAGGCTACTCTGCTCTTCCCTACAGTCCAGTGGGATGCTAACGGTAAGCAGGTAGGGCCAGAGCAATATAGCCCATACACCAAGCTGCTTGACTGGAGAAATCACATACACATATGACAAATGTTCACAAGTAAATACTAATGCAAACACAAAACACGAAACCCCTATCATCCTACATCTTTAGTCTTTGCTGCAAAACTACTGTCTACTTCTTCAGAATTACATAAATTACATAAATCAAAATCACTGCCCAACTATATAAACTGGGGTTTAAATCTGCCAGTTATATTCTGTCTTGAAGTGTGACATATTACCTGTCATGATGTGCATTCTGTCAGTACTCTTCAAGTCTTCCCAGCTCTTCTGTCATGTTGACTTCTTTTAAAAAGCTTGACCAGGCCATGAATTAAGGAAAAGGTCATTTTGGTCGTGCGTAGGTACTTGTAAAAAGATACTGGTCTTCCCAAAGTAATGCATTTCTTTCCTGATGCATAATATATGGTAACTAGTCAGGCATGCTACAAATAAATATGTTCGTTCTTGATTTAGAGTTATGAGCTGGGATTTCTTTCTAAATATCTTTCAATATGAAATCAGTATCAACTGACCTCAATATAAAAATAAATCCAAATAAATGTTTGTATATTTGTATTCCACCCTGCATCCTGACACCATTGGCTACCAATCCAAGAATGAAGACTGAGACTGATTAGATTTATTAAACAATAGCTACAAAAGGAATGGGCTGAAAAATCCCTCCTTTCAGCTGAGGGAAGTATGTAATGTAGATTTAAACATCCATGACAGAGAGAAGGCTGCAGAAAAGACAGCGTAGAACTGCAATAGACATAAGAATGGGGCCAAATGTGTGAGAGTCGGAAATCACTCGGCTCTAACAAGACCCCTCAAATCTTCTTTTTATTTTGACATTCATATTCCATTTTGCTCAGAAACCATGGGTGTGTGAGAGTAGGTCTACCCAGAAGCTATGGTTTCCCAAATGGTAATGACTGTGTTTAGCTGTCATAGAATGAAGCACATATTTAGCAGTTATTCATGCCTGCTTGAAACAGACTCCACTGAATGCTTCATTTTTTTTAATTTTTATTTTTTTGCTGCACTTCCATATTTTATCTTAAATTCACTTCTGTTATAAGTGTGATAAAACTGGAAGATTAGTGGGGATATGTTGTCTGTTGTCAGTTTATGGTAATAAATCCATCCTTTCATTTCTGCCTCATACACATAAAAATGAATATAATGGCTTATTACTGTTCAGTATAAACTAAATACTAAATATTGCTAAATAACTACGTGGACCAAACCATAAAAAGACAGGCCAACATTCAAAAGGCTTGAGCTCAAATGTTTGTTGCTTCAATGAGGCATGTTTAAGGATGAGCTGAAGACAGAGAGGGGTTCAGAATTTAGTGGCTCATAGGGGTCGTGTTACTAAACTCTACATCCTTCTCACGCACCCTCAAGACACCTGAAGCCTCGTGCCTGTCAACCTGTTTCATATGAAACAATGTTCTGTTCTAATCAGCATTTACTCCTACACTTTTTCCTTCTCCACCTTCTTTGGCGTGTTAGCAGATTTGCACAATGTAAGCTTATCTCTCCAAAAAAAAAAACATCATGTTTTCTTCAACCTTCTTTTGTTAAATCCCATTAATTGTACATGTAATTTAAAAGAACTGTATGTTGGTACATTCACCAAACATCCCAATTCATCCCAATTTTGGCTCAATCTAATCTGATTTGGATATTGGCCAAAAAGGTATTTGGAAAGTCTTTATAGCACCTAATCTTATCCATGCTCGATTCTATAAATTCACATTTGAGGTATTTATTTATAGGTGTAAGCATGTTTGTGCATCCACACTTTATCTTGTACACAATGTTTTATGTCAGTGAGGGCATGCATGTGTGTGTCTATCATTACCAGTATTCTCATGTCGTAGTGTTTATGAATGCCTCTGAAGTACACACAAGCTGATAAAAAAGGGAATTCTGTCCTACATGACCACAAAAAGGTAGTGACACATGATTACGTAATTACATTGATAGATTCAACTTCCCCTGGGGCCACCAAATTGATCAATCAATCAATCAATCAATCAATCAATTAAAGCTATGTCCAATTTTCACAAGTGGATGGAGTAATAGGGAATACTTAACTCAAAATGCATAATTGTCTCACTCATCTGAAGGCCAGTAGTGATTGCAAAATCTGCAACTCTTCTGTGGCTAATGTTCATTTCATAGTGATCCTTACTCTCCGTCAGGCAGCAGAAGTATAGTGACAATGTGTAAAAAGTGCTGCGTGAGCTAAATATGTAAGAGTAGTCTTATGGCGGGGGGGGGGGTAAATGAAAGCAACTTGATGTAAGATTTGGTATTTGTTGCGATTTGGCACCACAACATGCAATACCACTGTCGAAAATATAGTGTAGGTGCTATGATAAATCACAGCAGTACAATTTATTGGTACCACAGTGGTTTAAAGGTGCACCAAACTATGTTGGTGTAATCAATTAATTTTGGCTATCAAACTTTATCAATTATAAAAAGATAAAAAGATAATAAAAAATTACTAATTACTATTAAAGTTCTTTGGGGTACCACCCTAAATAAGGGAAACAATAGCCTATAATCGATTGATTCTGTCTCATAAAACTCAAAAAACAATTAATTTAGAAATTTAAATAATAATTAAATTAATAACTAAAACCAAAATCAAAATGTAATAGGCCAGCATGTATAAACACAAGCATTTATTAAAGAAATGATAAAAAGCAAAACAGATGAAAACACGGAATGTACAATTTAAACTAAAGAACAAAGTGTGAGTGCGCGCATGGGGTTTGGCGCCAGAAAAGGTGTGTGTCTTTGTCCTCTGACCATATGTTTCAGCTAAGCATAAAACGCATGTTGGTTAGAGACAAAGACCATGGAAGAGCAGGAGGGTTTGAGTTCCCTCTACTCATCTGTGTTCTAAGCTTTAGGCTTTTTTAGGTCTGTATGTGCGTGTGTGATTGTAGATTAACCATGCCGTTAAAAGACAGTGGCATGCAAAGACGTGGCATGCAAAGACGTTGTCTGAGTGAAGCATAACATTAAACTAACATAACCTTAGTGATGTTACTACAGTAACCCTGCGTTTATCATATCAACATCACAACAACATAACCTGAATAAAACACATCAGGTCTTGCTTAGCCGTTAACCTAAAAGGAGGAATCCTGGTGATCAGCTGGCGTTCCTGCGAGCCAGGCTTTCGCTCATTGCTCTGTAAGAGAGAGAATAGCGGCGTGCAAGGAGTTTTATCATCTGGACATTGCGCGTCCTCAAGTCGTCTCATGTTAATGTCCCAGGAAGTGACCTGTCACAATAAAAGTCCAGTTAAATCACTCAAAATGAGCAAATTACATTTTAAAGGTCCCCTTTAACCTAATAATAGACAGCTGTACACATGCATTAATTATGATTACATTACTTATCATTACATTAGATCAAAAACTAGTTAACCTAGAAATAAATGGTTAAAAAAATAATAAATATGATGTAAGCAGCATCATATCATTAAGGTTATTAATATTATCAGTCATAATGGTGGTGTACTCTGTTCATTTTTGTTATTTTAGTTGTTTATGTGCTGCTCTTTTGGTACCAAGAAGATACTAAAATGTTGAAAACTTGAAGGTACTCATTTTTCTACAGTACTGAGGATGCAATTTTTACAGATCTGACGGCGCAGCATATACACCTACAAATACTCTAGTCGGCCATTAAATGCTACAGAAAGAAAAACATGTCGCAGTGCAACAAGTGCAGTTATTAATTATCCTGTCTGTGTCTATATCTCTGTCGCTGTGCTGTGTGTGTGTTTGTGTGTATGTGTGTGGGTGCAGGTGCTCAGCCCTGCCTGAGCTGAAACTGCAAGTTCAACAAAAGTTCAGCAAAACAGTAAATAAAAGTAGTTTATTACTGTAATCCACACAAAACTTGTACAGACAAGGAAAATAAACACTGAGCAGAATAGCGTTCATTCAGGTTACTCAGGTTGGCCAAAGCTGCAGTGAAGCAACACTGCAGGACACTTTTAAAAAGGAGAAACTCCCTCCAGACAGCAACCATGCAAGATCAAAAAGTCTGTTAGGCAGGCTACACAAATATTATAAATAAAAAACATTGAGAACCAGTTTGGTTGCAGGCAATTTTTTTTCTTCATGCAATGCAGAGCTGTTCACTATTATTAATGAAAATACAAGTATTGGATCAGGACTTGGTATAAGCAGATAATCAATATTAAATGGAGATCGGGGACAACCAGGGAGAGTTGGAGGAGTCCCACACCCACAACACACAAACAGAGACAAATACAGGAACACCAGGGAAGGGAAAACACTAGAAACACTAGGATGTACTGGAGTATGGTACTGACCATAACAGTGAGGCATTACTACACCTGGCTGACCAGGACAGCATATTAAGTGTCCCACCAGGAATACTAACACACTGGACCATCGCTGCACCATAATAAAGGATGCCTATCGCTCTGTTCCCCGTGCAGCCTTGGGACTCTCTGGTCACTGTCTGGTTCATCTTAACCCGACCAACAGGCAGAACCCTAATTCTGCTAAGCCTGTGGTCAAGACTGTGAGAAGATGGACCAACGAGTCTAAGCGGGAATTACAGGCTTTGACTGTACTGATTGAAGTGTTTTGAGGCTGCAGCCACAGACCTTCACAAACTCACCGATACTGTGACATCTTACAACAGTTTTTGTGAGGATGTGTGTGTCAAAAAAAGACCTTCTGCACATACTGTTTATAAATGCTCCACCATCATCACAGTCCCCAAATAACCCTCCATCAAAGTCCTTTGAAAGACTGGTGTTGGCCCACCTAAACGACATTACAGCCCCCTTGCTAGACCCCCTGCAGTGGATGGTGCAACATGGGACTGCACTACATCCTACAACACCTTGACTCTCCAGGGACATATGTGTGAATCCTTTCAGCTCGGCGTTCAACATCATCATCCGGACATCCTTCACAACAAACTCACCCAGACAATTAGCACTGCCGCCTCCCAGGGGTGTGTGCTCTCCCATTGGTTTTCTCCCTGTACACCAATGACTTTGCAGATGACACAACAGCCATCGGCCTCATCTGGGATGGTAATGAGTTTGCATACAAATGGAAGAAGCACCAGCTGGTCCTGGTGTGGTCAGAGCAACTTTAGAGCTTAACACACTCAAAACTGTGGAGATGACAGTGGACTTTAGGAGGAGCACCCCGCCATCACCATACTCAACAGCCCTGTGTCTGTTGTGAAAACCTTCCGGTTTTTGGGATCCACAATCTCCCAGGACCTTCAGTGAGAGTCCAACA